AAGTGGCAGTAAAGATTGTATAAAACAGTGAGATCTTGAATGAAATTTTTTACCTCTCTGTGTAAGACCTGGAAAGGCTTGTGAAGACTAATCACATATGTTTGAGAATAGTGCTTAGAATGTGAAAAATATATTCCTATTACTTTGTTTCAATAAGAACTGAAGAGAAAATGGGGAAATAAGCTATCTTTAAATAAATGACAGCAAGTAGTTCAGCCAAAGCTCTGATTAGACTTTGCATTTAAAAAAAGAAAAAAGAAAAAAAAAACTGTTGTTATTGATAAATCATCAATGCTCTTCAGGAATTCAATTTTAAGAATTTTGAATTTGAATTCAAACAGCTTTGAATTTTAGTGAATTAGTAATTTTTTCTACTACCTGTTTTACAAGTATGGCAGGAGGAAAGAGTATCAATGACTAAATTTATCCTTTGGATTTGAAAAAAAATGTTTCCTAAAAACACAACCTGAACACAGAATCTGTTTTGGTCACTAACCAGAATATATATATAAAGGAGAGAATTAACAAGTCTTGTTTCATTTTTCACCAACAATGTAGAACTTAAGTATGTTATCAATGCAGGAAGGAGCTGCTCTTTTTACTATCCAGACATACTTTGTCCTAGAGTAGCTGGAAGGTTAGCAGGGTGATTGTGAATTTCTGTTTATGTCTGTCTTCCTGGCTTAGAGAAATGTTCCTAAGTTTGCATAATGCTATGACTTATCTCTTTATTTGAACTGTATGGTTTATTTTGTGCTGAAGCGGTTCATAAAATAAGAACTATTGCTGAGACTGCTCTTGGCAATGTGTACCTCTGTGGTGGGAGTTTTATGAGAAATGAGATAAAAAGTGAAATTCTGATAACTTTACTTATTTGGATAGGTGTAATGACTTTGGATGAAGGGGAGAGCTTGTGTGAATAAGTTGAGCTCAACAGAGGAAATTTGCCTGATAGGAGGATGGATACTTAAAGCTTGAACAAATATGCACACAGGTGATGAGAATTATATTTCCATTCTGTGCTTTACCAGACTAAGCAATTGAGAAAGTTACACATCTGTGATAAGAAAGGTCAAATTCCAACAAGAATAATTTTAAGATATGTGAAGCAGCATTTTTGTTCAACATAAAAGCTTACAGAAGAAAAGAACAAAATAGCTTTATCGTATAGATATAGCTTTATCATATCATACAGAAATAACAAAACTAAAAGAACAAAAGAAGATAAATTCATAGAATGCTCCCCACAAATTTTCAAAGGTCCTAAATGGGTAGTCCTAATGCTGAGACCCTAGTTTTATGAAATAGTTTCTATTTCTTAAACAATTGTTGAAGTGCGATTTTTTATTTTAATATTATTCTAAATAAACTACATCTGACTAAAATGTTGAATATTGGTGTACAGAAAGATTCGTTTGATGCTTAATTTTGGATGAAAGCAAAACACCAGGAAAAAATGCAGTATGAAATCATTTGAATTGTATACTTTATATTACCAGAAAGTCTTCTAGCTTTTATATACTTTTTTTTTTTCCTAGGGTTATGCTATACGCACACACACACAATATATATATGTAGTATATGATATATATATACTATGTTATTGTCCATATTGTATATGCTGTACTATGTACTATACTATGCAACATATACGCAATATATATATTAGCTACATAATATTGTTAATATTAAGTATTTTTTTTTTTTAGTTACTGTTTGGTATAAGTTTGGGAAACTTTTGCCAGAAAGCATTTACCTAGCAATTTTTTTTTATTAGTAGAATTGAGAGAGTGCTTGATTGGAGTTTCCTTTATTTTTGGCTCAGAGTTTTCAAACCATAGAACCATAGAATGCTTAAGGTGGGAAGGGACCTCTAGAGGTCATCTGGTCCAACCCCCCTGCACACGCAGGGTCACCTAGAGCACGTGGCACAGGACTGCGTCCAAGCGGGTTTGGAAGATCTCCAGAGAAGGAGACTCCACAACCTCTCTAGGCAGCCTGTTCCAGGGCTCCGTCACCCTCACTGTTAAAAAATTTTTCCTTAAGTTCCTGTGGAACTTTTGGTATTTCAGTTTGTGGCCATTATCTCTAGTTCTGTCAGTGGCCACCAGTAAAGAGAGGCCAGCACCATCTTTCTCACTGCCTCCCTTGAGGTACTTATAGACCTTCTATGATAAAGACTCCTACTTTTTTGTTTGTATGTTTGTTTTTAATGTGGTCACCAGGTAAGAATGATCTTGAGACTCGTATCCTTTCAGTTCAACTTAGTAAAAATAGAACATGCTCCTACTACTGCCTTTTGGAGACTGTAGAAGGAGAACTATTTTTGTTGAGAGAGCACCAACTCTGTTGAAGAGATGACATGCAGAAACTGTTGTTAGCTGGCATTCAGCTTAAAATGTTGATATGTTATTTCACAGAATTTGATAAAATCTCTTCAGGTTTCTTTGGATACTGTTACATGGACTGAAAAATGAATGACCGAACCAAAGATTTTGGTTCTGCCTCAGTTTTCGAATGTATGGTGTGGTATAATAAATATAGCTCCAGTTTAGACTTCGGAAGTCTCTCAAAGAGTTCTGTTGGGACAACTGATGCAGAAATTAGATCCACAGACCCTTTTTTTTTCTTGACTGATGTTTCAAGCTTGGAACTTGCTACACTTTCTGGAAGACTGCCTTAAACTGACTTGCAGAAAAATACAAAATAGTTGCGCAGTTGCTGTAATAGAGAATGTTTCTATCTCAATCATATTTGATTAAGAAGAATCTGAACAAAATTAAAAGCAAAGATTTAATATATTTTTAATTAGAAACATAACACTTATTTTCTTCAGTTTTAATTGCATTTGCCCAGGCACAATACTCACTTAGAGATGAATAGAATCTATCTGGGAAAATATGAAAGAAATGTGGTCATTCCTAGGAGAAAAACCTCAGCTAACTCTTGTAAAATCTCTAGCAAGTGGGCCATTTTTTAATTTAAGAAGAATATTTTCTTTGTGTAATAGAATGTGTGTGGGAAGATTTCTCTTCCTATTTCGTGTATATTTGCCTTCTTCCCCTTTTCTTCCCAAAAATCAGAAAAAAAGAAAAAGTTTTATTTTAGTTTCAAGCCCCACTTTCATGCAGTTACTCAGTTCAGTTTGCCTTTTTCATGAGTATTGATTTCATTACCGTAAGATGCAGTGCTTTGTGTGTTCATACAACTACTGAAAAGCATTTTGAAATGCTTTTCCAAGCCCAAGAGAAATACAACTTGCTGTCGGTTATCAATCTCTCTGCTTATCCTAATCAGAAAACAATGTCTAACTGAGTAATTTCTAATTATAGTTCTTACAGAACTTTTTTTTTTCTTAACTTTTTTTTTCTTTAGTTCATTCTTTGATTACAGATTTTGGTTCTTTATTCGTTTAGGCAACAAAGTTGAAATCGTTTGCTATATTTAGGATCACGTAGCAGTAAAATTATAGATGGCTGTTTATCAAATAAGTATTTATCATGACTGCCCACATGTCAAGGGAAATTTGATTAGTTGCAACTGGACAGGTAAAGTCAAAATATATCTGATTAATCAAATAAACCCTTGTATTGTGCCACGCAGAAAGTATCAGGTGTTTTCACTTAAGAAAGGATTAGAAAATGACTGACACTGGCAGAAGCCATTCTTTTTGCAACCTAAACTCTGATACCTACCCTCCCTAAAATGCTGTCCTTTATCACCTCTTGAAATTGAACTTTACCCTTGTGAAATTCCTCCTATTCAAAGCTATTGCAAACTGTTACATTTTTTTTTTAATTCTTTGCTGTCGTATTTTCTCCTCTCAAGTCACATAGTTTATTAAATAAAGGTATTGGAGCCAATTTATAGTTGAGGAATTTCTTAATCTCTTAAAAGCTTTTACAATTCTCTATTTTGTTGATAAAATTAAAAACTTAGTAAGACTGGGTTTTGTTATTTGTAATTTCTTTAATGAGTTGCTAATGTCCAACACATTGCTGACAGTCCTGTTTTTATTCCTTTCTTTTTGTTTGCGTTCTTTCGCTCCAGATTTTGCCATAGAAATAAATGTGCAGCCATTCAGGATACCTGTTTGCTTCTGTAATGAATCGGCTACTCATTAGGGTCCATGGTTTATTGCAGGGTTATGGCCATAATGCACATTTGGCTGTTATGTACCTGAATGTTGTATTTAAAGAAAAAAAATGAATTACATTTCTTTTTGTTCAAGGTGGAGAGGTTGATTAAGTGCATGAGATATTCTAAAATAACCTGAGTTTTAGGCTTTTATGCACTGGCTACTTAGTGAATTGACTCTTGTTTTGCAAGTAGACAAGTAACTTGAAATAAACAAAATGGATGAGTTAAAAGGCAAATGTGTTGCTGAACTAGAGCAGTTTTGCACAATTCTGTTATACAAAATTTTCCCCAAAGTTATTATAGCTGACAGCAGTTAGAATATTTTAGAGGTTTGCAAAAGTTGGGGTTTCAGTAGCAACGTTTTTCCTGTGACATGATTTGAGAAAAAGATTTTTCCGTGACCTTTCCCTTTAACTTGATATTGTCTCACTGCTCTGACAGCTCCTTTACTCATTGGCAACTATGCCAGAGGAGATTTAGTAATGCTGTTGAGAATGAGCAAGTTCCACCGTTAACTCATGTTTCGAGGACAAAAAAAAAAATAGTGACTTGAAATAGTCCTTGCAAAGCAATCCTTCAGAAATATACTATCCAACAGCAATCAAGGTTTGGGTCGAAGAGTATATGCATCTGCGATTTTTGTGTGCGTGTGTTTATTTGCTGAGTTTTACAGTGTTTGGTGAGAGGGTACAATTTGTTCTCATTTTCTTTGTGCCGGGAGCTCTCTTGCAACTAGAGGAAATTATTAATGTGCTTTCAGAAAAGCTATTAGCCATTTTGTTGTTGCCTTTCTAATTACAGTTCATTTTATGTAAATCAGTTTTCTGTATTTTCATTTTTTCTCTTTATTCCTTGTCTAGATTCCACCAAGAAAATTAAGGATGTCTTGGAAGAATTCCATGGCAGTGGAGTGCTAGCAAAATATAATCCTGAAGGGGTAATTTTTCTTCTTTTTTTGATGGTCAAAAATAGTGGGGAAAATACCTACAAGTGTTATGGCAAATCTAAACATTTAGGAATAGAAGATTACTCATGAATCAGCTATTTGGGGTGATTGGTCTGTTTGAAAAAAATAAAAATATGTGTATTTTAAATAATAAATCATTTATAACATCATATTGTGCAGAACTATTGAATAGTTTATAGTTTACACAGGCATTTTCTTTTTTTAAATTTAAAATAAAAATGTTAGGGTAAATTTAATATATTTCCCTATTGTTTTGAATGTTGGAAATGTTAGGCATATTTTCAAAGATTATAGAAGGATGATGTATTCAGTTAAGATTTCTTTTTAAATCGTTCAGTTCAGATTTCTTTTTAAATTCTGCTTCTCATATGTATAGGTATATCCTTTAATACAAAATACATTCTCGTGTTGTGAAGCAAAGAATTTAGCAGAAGAAACACTTGTATGTGTGTGCTGTGGCTACGGATTCACTCCTAAAGCAAATATTCTATTTTTGTCTGGTCAAAAAAGCTGGATTTTTTTTTTGATACTCTTGATTGTAATTTATATCACTTCTATCAAGTGCGATTCAAAATGTATCTCAGTAAACACCTATTTCTGTAATCTTCCTTACTCTGCTTGTGTTGTGTGGAATGTTAAACAGAAGAATGAACCAATCATTGTGAAAATGCTTTGATCTTCCCTTCAGGATGTAAAAGTCAAGAATTGTTGTCAAGCAAGCTAGTTGTAACCCAATGAAATATTGAAATGTTGTTTGACACTTTGAATTTAGAACAGCATAGCATTTGTTGTTTTACTGATTTTAATTTTTTTTTCTCTACTCTCTGAGGGAAGTATTTCATACCTCATTGTAGTAGTGTTATCTTTTAAACAAGATCCGAATGCTGGGGTCTTCTCATTTTTTCTCCAGTGTGGCAGGCTGTGTGTTTTCCCTTTACTGACTCCTGTTGGAATCTAAATAATTTTTTTAGAAACATGTGAAATGTTAATTTACAAACTCAGTATTTACTCTTTCTTTTTTGACTTCTGCAGCTTTCTTTGTACTCCTAATGTATATTTTAAAATTGTCTTAAAATTTTCTTAATTCTCATTTTTTCTCTTGAAATTTTTCACTTCTTTTCACTTTCCAGACAAGTTTTCAGTTTTGTGAAATACAGGCTTTTAAAGTACAAGCAAATGGTTTATTTGTGAATATATTTAAATACTTGTTGTCTCATAGGTAATACATATTATAAATATATCAATATTGGTGTGTAAACAGATCAGTATTTAAAGTAAGTTGTAAAATTAAGCTCTTTTAATGGTCTTTAACTAACCCTTTAATTTTGGGGTATATGGAGAATGAGTCGTGGTGAAAAGTGAGTGATATGGGCACCTGGGACAGCAGCTTCCTCTGAAGTCAAGTGGACCTGGCAAAATCTGCACAAAACTGGGATTAGCAGACACCCCTGGCCACATGCAGTGTTTCCTGTGGTTCTTAATTTCTAAAATTGTTTGCACAGAGCATCCTGCTGCATGGAGCAGCACAGGGACACGGGGAGCGGGGCAGCAACCAAACCAAAAGGCAAGATGGGAGGCTGCAAAGGGAAGGGCAAAGCAAACCAAACTCCCTACAGCGTCTCCACTGTTTTCAGCAGGGATCGGTGTATTCACCACTGCTCGGGTTGCCCATGTTGGATTCAGGCTGTTGCCAATAGCTCTTGCACTGCATTGCTTAGCACTCAAAATTCAGGGAGAGCAGCAAAAGGAAAATACAGCTAGCAGCAAAGCTAGTTGGGGTTCAGTAGGATTTATTAGCTCAGGTTTCATGCCATAAGCTGCCGAGCTGGAGGCACAGCAGGTGGAATTACATTCTTCTGCAGCTGAGGGAATAACCCCAGGCAGGCTCAAGTGCCCTGGCACAAAGCATGGGTGTGTGGGCACATTTTTGGTGTTCACCCAGCCTGCTACCTGGTTAAAATATTCACAAGATGATTTGAGAGCTGACTGTACCTGATCAGATGATGTCTGTCTGTGTTGGAAGTACTATTTAACTAACGTAATTATTACCTGATTTTTTTTTTTAAGTGTTTTAGCATGGGCAGCTTGAGATACCAAAGATACAAAGCTCCAGCTAAAATCAGTTATGAGATAGCTTTCTCCTTCCATGCTATAGAAATAAAATTTTAAACTGTTAAGAATCCAGTGTTTTGTTTTGTAGAAGATACCAGCATGTTACCATTTAGCTCTTTATTTCCTAGATAATTATCTCATAAGCACTCCGACTATTTTCCAAGTATAGTGTTGTCAAAAATCTGTAAAAAGATATGTCAGTTTTTAGACTAATAAACCTGGGACACAGAACTGTGCCAGGACATTTTTCAGTGTGATGTATTTATGTTCTTAAGAAAAAGGCTTAAGAACTTCTTATTTCAGGCTTCTCTCTGCTTAAAGGGCTCAGAAATTTATACCTCTCTATTGCTTCTGTATTACTATTATTTTTTTAATCACAAGCCGATTTAATGGGACAGAAATAGCAAACGAAAAGCAATGGATATTCAAAGCTTGTCACCTGAAATCATCTGGATTGTTTTTTCATTATTTTGTATCTTGTTGAGTGAATGATTTTTGGGCTTAGTGGAAATGGTGAAGCTGATTATCAGCAGGTCATCCAGTATAGGGAGTTTATATATGGAGCTGTCACTGTTGCTTTTACCCTAGCTTTCAGTGTAAGGGAGATGACTAAAACTGCAAACACTAATTAACCTCTGCCCTCCTGCCCCCTTGTATATGTATGTTGTTATCAACATTAATTAAGACTAGATTTTACACCTCATGTAAGAGTTATAGGGATGTTAAGATCAGCCTTCTGGAAAATGTGCCTAAATAGTGTCTAAATCATTTGAGATTTGTCTAAATTAATTAATTCCAGGCATTTTATTTGGTGGAGAGTGCTGAATAGGCTAGCAAGGATTAAGGAAGTACAGTGAGCTACAGACTGTGTCTAGCCTGGGTAGCAGAAGCACAGCACTGAGTGCTTGCAGGCTGAGCCTCTTGATGGCTCTGAGTCTCTGGCTGATGCGCTGGAGTGCATCCTAATTTCTTGTGGACCTGCTTAGCTACCCACCTACATCTTTGGGGGTTAGCCAGGGCAGGAAGAGTGAGGATGGAAGTTGTATGGAGGAGCCCCAGCCCGACAACCAGACAGGGTGCAGTACATAGTCTGTAATAGTACTTGGAATTTTAAGATAATATCACTTTAATATGTATGTGTGCATAGCAGCCTGTGGACAATGTAGAAGAATGTAGAAAGTTAGTACAGTGTCTTTGTAAAAATAAGTAGAAGTAGAAACAGAAGCAGCATGTGGCAATGACTCCTAAGGCAGTGTTTATCACTGTATTGATTTCTGATTAAATTGTTTCATTAACATTCTCGACAACAAGTATTTTCTTTTTCATTTACACAAGATGCAAACATTGTATTTATTTTCTTTTCCTTGGATATTTGTGATTGCATGGTTAAAAATAAATTGCTTATGCTGTCTAATTAACCAAGGCTATAATGCTGACTAGGACTCTTTTCCTGGTGCCTGCAAATTCAAGAAAATGGATTATTTTATGTCATCTTTTAAACCTGTTTCTCAGTTTCACTAATCTTCTAATTAAAGTGGTTCTAATACAGAAAAAAGAGTCTGGGTTTTACTGTACTTCATTAATGCATGTGTGCTCTTTCTTTCTTGCATGCATAACAGAAACAAGATATACTTAACCAAGTAAGTAAACTTAATATGATTTTTCTCTCTTTTTATTATGCATGGGGGCAATATTTTATATTTTGTAGCATTCATTTATGTTATGGATAAATATTACATATTGCTATCCTATAAGATAACAGACAAATATTTAAGGTGGCACCTGAGATCAAAGTCCATTCTCTTTATAGCGTCAAACTGTTTTTTAACTGGATGTGTTTCATTTGGGTCATAGCAACAATTCATAATTTTGCTAACATGGTTCAATATGGTTTATAGTGTGTTTAAAAGAATTTTTCTTTCGTGTGATGTAGTTGAGTTGCAGCTGTTTCAGGAAAAAAAGGTTAAAGGGCTCATCATCCACTCAAGACTATATTCCTGGCTAGCTTAAATTACCTAAAAACAACAACAAAAAAGGATTAAAAAAAAAAAGGATAAGTCAAGATCGACTAGCCAAATGACTATTTCTTAAAATGGTCTAGGTATTCTTTCTTTGTGGCACATAGATGTTAAAAAGTCTTTGCTCTGCTCTTTGGGAAGAGGCAGCTGAAGCCTGAGGACAATCACAGTCAAGAGACAGAAAGGACTGGGCTTGCAGGAACCCTGCATTTGCTACTGTAAAAGGCCAGGGGTGCTCTTGGAGGTGCATTACTTCAAGTAATAACTCACTTCCTCCCTGTAAAAAGCTCTGTTTTCTTCAGGTAACCTACTACAAAAGTAACATTTGCTAAGGAAGTGATTGCAGTGGGTCTCAAAAGAGAAGACATTCAGGTTAAAACAGTGTTTTTAGGGTCAGTCTTGGCACTATCTGGTCTGCAGTTTTGCTGATAATCTCGTTAACAAAAAGTAGATGAATGCACTCACTAACCCAAATTTAAGTGTTGTTGCCAAAATAGAGAAATGTCTTAAAATTGTACAAAAACTGATGATTTTGATGGCTTATTAAAAATAGAACTGGAAAAGAACTAGCATAGAGAACAGAGCAGTGTACTGCCAGGCTAGTGTTGCTGGCACATAGAGCTGAGTGTGGTAGTTAACAACAAAATGATTATAAAGTGTTACTGGGACATCATAATAGTGTTCCTGTAGCCATGATGGTCTGAGAATATTAAAGCAAGAATAGGCTTGTAAGGGAAGGTTGTGTCTTAGGCCCATTGATTTAAGTGGAAAACTATTTAAGCCTTAAGCATGCAGAAGTACAGATTAGAAGGCTTTGTGTGCTTGTTTCCTCAGCTATGTTGTTCAACTTGACAAAAGATAATTTGCTGTACAAACCTTGCTTTCCTCTTATATACAAAGTGAAGCATTTCTACTATAGGTAAGCAAGTTCCTTCATGACCTGCTTTCTCCCAGTGTATATCGCAATGCAAGAAATATGACATCAAAAAGTAATTTACAGAAGGGCTAGTAGGATGAGGAGAATTGTAGAAAATCTGTTATGAAGGAAGAGAAGACCGTCCCTCACTTGCAAGCAACTGAAGCCTAGGAAATGTATTGTGTTTTGCTAGCCATGGTGACATCCAGGAACAGAAAAACTGAGCAATCTGTGAATATCTCTAGTGGAAAGTCCTACCCTTCAAAACTGCGCGCAGTGTTTCCTTGGCTTTCTGGGCAGAATTTCCCAGGAACATCTTCCTGGGTAGAGAGTCAGGACACCTGCCAGGGAGATGCTGGCAGCCTGGTCTGCAAGCCTGTTTTCTGTGCAGTGTTGAGGGCATCGAGGTGATTTCATAAGATTTTTAAGATACTTGAATTTCTGCTGCATCTTCTTCAGTTTTGAGCATTTTGGTCCATCTTTAGTGGTCCCTCTGCCTCTTTTCCTCTCTTTGTGCTAACAAGTCCATCTCTCTCACTCCTTGTTAGTTTCCTTCCTTTTGATACTTTCCCCTCTTGGCCGTAATCTCCTGTTTTTATCCTTTTCCTTCTACTTTTTTTTGTACCACATATGTTTATGGAGCTGCATACCACTGTCACTTACCCATTACCTGATGTAATTGCCATCTTTTCTGAGATAATAACTCAAGGACTTATTTCTGATTTGCACTAGATATCATTTACAACTGTTTTAAAAGATGGAGAATGAAGAATTTCCAACATTGAAAAAATACGCTTCTTAATACTACAACTTTTTAAGAAGAAAACTTCCCAAACACACAAACTTAGTATTATATAGGGTCACACTGGTGTCTAAAATGTTTTATTTTTAACATCCTACTTTATTTTAAAAGCGTCAGACTACTCTGATGACATTTTAGCCCATCTAACAACATGAAAACACAATACACTTTTTTTTTTTTTTCATAGCAGTTTGAAGTATCATCTAATATTTAGAATATTTAGGAAAAAAAGGGAAGTGGTTGCAGCCCTATTCACCATTTATTACATCTTAAGGTGTAGTCATATTTATATAATGTGATAGAAAAGCAGGTGAGCGAACCTGTTAATTGGCAAAAGAATAGATTTACTTCCATACTGCACATAACATGCACTCTGAAATCATTTCACAAATTAAATATGTTATATGCTGCACCTACTTGCTTTCTATGAGACAGAGAAGAAGGGTTTCTCTCTCTTTCTCTAGTCTCTCACAAATATACAGATGATGATGATGGACTATAATTTCCGCTTCTTTTTGGGTTCTCAAACTGTCTTTTGCAAGATGAGTTTTGAGAAACGTGTCCTCAATTGATGGCTTTGGATTTAAACCAGTTAAATTGAATATAAGGAAAATAAATTGCTTGAAGTTCCCAAGTGATGTTGCAGATGTCCTTTTTTTTCCAGACAGATTTTTTTTTGTGTTGCTAAGTCCAATATCTTATGGCTGACTCTTGGAAAGTAGCAAATAGTAGCGTTGTCACAGTTACTAAATATTTCACAGTTGCTTATGGCAGAATGTATTAGGAATTAAGTAGTCGTGACATCAACACGCATTTTACTTGTCTAATTACAGTTGTATTACTTTATGCCTTCTGTCAAACTCTGTCACTGAATTAATGCTATAAAAGTAACAGCAGAAGTTTTTGCCTGAGGTGTATTTCTACTCTCATTTTGAAAAACATAACCATATAAGGTGTTTTCTTTAAAAAACATTTAATTTTGAAATTCTATATTTCATTTATAACAGTAAGAATTATAAGGTTATCAAATGGATACTGCTTTGCTGCTATATTACTTTTTAAAATTTACTACCTCTATGTAATAGTGGACTAACAAAGGTCAATGCAGCGCTTTGAACAGTTTTAGAGGCTTTTGTGTCACCTGTTCAGACACATAGCAAGCTTACTTTATTTTTCTCTAGGTTTGGATCTAGAATTTGCAGCCTGATACTAGCTTAATGTTCTTTAATGTTTGGCTTACATCTCCGAAGGCATTTTATTTAATATAGATTTACTGAGGCTGAATGAGTAAATTCTGGTTAAAATGCTTTATCCAGAATATTTAATTATGACCTTTTTTATTTGTTTTTCACTTTGCAGTACAATCTATTATATTCTATTTTGTTTTATGATAATGGCTGCATTTGCAATCGATTAACCCTGCATGATGGTGTGTCCTTGCTGTTTATCAAACTGTATTAGTAAACAAAATGGAAAAAAATACTACTGATATTTATAATATTGCAGTAATTGGCCAAAAACGGAGGTGACTTGTAGCTCTCTTGTGCAATACAGATTCTACTGCTAACGTTGGTCTGTAAATATATACAATTGGTCAGATGACATAGCTTTCCCATCTTTTATCACTTTCTTAGCTAAGCTACAGCTTTCAGTTCTGATGAAACAAACCCAGGCTTTGTTCAACTAACAGAGCTTCACTTTCCTAAAGGCTGTAAATTTGCACACAGTGCAAAGCAGATGTAGATTGCTGCCAGATTTTTTTTTTTTTTTTTTTTCTGGCTGACGTGGGGCATTTTAAACCTTCTGGAATTGGGCATGACTGGCCCAGGTGAAAGATCCAAATGCTTAGGATTGGATTGGATTAAGTATTAGCAAATCATTTATTCATGAATTGAAATATGTGTGGAAATTTGTCCGCCTGTACCTTTCAAACACATGCAGGGGGAGGGATGCACAAGAACTGTTCAAATGACTTATTCATATATTATTTTTCTTAATAGAAGTATTGCAGTAAGTGTTTTAATAAGGGTAGCTGAATCACAGAATCAGTGAAAATCTCAACAGGCAGGGAAGATCATTAGAGTTAAAAAACCAGAGAATGCTGTTGACCTAGAACACTTTTAGAAAAATAATTCTTGTTTTTTTTTGGCCAATTACAAAAATGACAGTTTGGCCAAGTTCATCTATCAGCAGGTTTTGGCACTATCTTCACAAACAGATTAATTGTTTTATTCACTGAGAACTTTTCTTATAATTATTTTTTTTTCCATTATTCAGTTGTTCTTGATTTGAAGCATATTGTCTAAGCCATTTTTTCCTAACTGCAGTAAGTATAATTTTCAGCTGTCCCATGGGGCTATCTCCAGTGCAGGATACCTGTTCCTCACTCTGTTTAGTATGCAACAATTTAGGTATACTTGTCATAATATTTTTCACTGATAATACAGTCCTATTTATTTATATTATCAGTGAATTTTCTTAGAAGAAGGAGTGCTAAGGGACAGAAGGATTCTATAGGGGATTACCTGACATAAATAAATAGGACTGTGTCAGGTAATCCCCTATAGAATCCTTCTGTCCCTTAGCACTCCTTCTTCTAAGAAAATTCACTGATAATATAAATAAATAGGACTGTATTATCAGTGAAAAATATTATGACAAGTATACCTAAATTGTTGCATACTAAACAGAGTGAGGAACAGGTATCCTGCACTGGAGATAGCCCCATGGGACAGCTGAAAATTATACTTACTGCAGTTAGGAAAAAATGGCTTAGACAATATGCTTCAAATCAAGAACAACTGAATAATGGAAAAAAAAATAATTATAAGAAAAGTTCTCAGTGAATAAAACAATTAATCTGTTTGTGAAGATAGTGCCAAAACCTGCTGATAGATGAACTTG